ACTTCACTCCAGTGAGCCTCAAGCCAAACCATGGAAACAGAAGACAACATACCCATTTGGAACCTCAACACCTGGGGGACACATCTTCGAGCGCGATCTCTTGATATTTCTGTGGCGCGGCACTCCCAATACAATGCAGGCACGGCGGTGATTGGAAGGTTAAGATCGGGGTCAAAGGGGTTGGCTACAGCTTTCACGGACTTAGAAACTTTTCTCGCCGGTTTGGACAATTTTTTCTGTCCGCCTGGGATGGTAGGAGACTTTGGTATCGACACCTCCTTAATATGCGCAAGGATGGCAACATCCCGACCCAGCAATTTCCCCAAGTCTACAGAATTCGGTGCGATCATCTTCGAATCCATTCCCCTTCAATGTTAATGTCAATAAATATGATTTTTTAAGCAAGTCAAGGTGGGAACTTACCTAAGGAGCGTCGTTAAATGATGTAGCATCTGTTTGATATCAGCTTGACAGTGCACAATGACGTCCTGAAGGTTTGTATTGCCTGTAACGACCGTAGCGGCTTGGTTGGCGACCGGATCCCGCGGAATGATGATTCCAATCATGTCGACGTCGGCACGTCCCAGGGCTGTTGCCTAAAAATCAGGAATCATTAAAAGGCAGCTCGAGAAAAAAGGCTGAAGACTTACCAAGTCTTGAACTTGCTTCAGCGCTGTTTTTGTTATCTTAAATTCTTGCCCGTCCATCTCAGGCCTGAGCTCGGCCAACTCTGACACCATCTCCTCCACGAAATTATCCATCTGATCGGCCGACAACTTCTCCACAATATTGTTGTACATGGCGGCAGCCTGAGTAACCCATGAGCCTTCACCTGTATACAACATCAGACCCCGAGACGAACAAGGAAATATAAGATATGTATATGCTTACTTTTTCTGGGATTGTAAGGCTGGTAACGCAAGTACATCTGCCAAATGTCCCATCGCGACGCTTCCCGAGAAAGAGACACATTGAACCCTCCTTTCCGCAGCACAGACTCAGGCGTGCGACCCATGTTCTTGCAATGCGCGACAATCGTTTCCGCGAGTTCCATCGCCAGCTTAGTCTCATGAGCCGTGTATGGGCCACGCTTCATTGATTGTGGCGGATCGTCTCGCCTTTTGCCCAGTGCCTTTGTGCTCGTGACAGGCCGTGCAGTGGGCAATTCAGATGCACCATCCGCGTCCACCTCCGAACCCTCACCGTCTGCTGAAGGCCTTTGCGCTGGTGGCTTGCTCTTCGCTAGGCGATGCAGTTTTTGTGCAAACTCTTGAGAAGCACCTTCCGCGTCCGCCTCCAAACCCTCATCAGAAGCACCTTCCGCCACCGCATCTGAACCCTCTCCGTCTGCTGAAGGCTGTTGCGCTGGTGGCTTGCTCTTCGCAAGCCGACGTAGTTTTTCTGCAAAGTTTTCGCCTGGGCCTGAGCCCCCATTGTCCTTTGACTTCCTTGCAACTCGTTTACGTTGTCGACCCCGTGAAACCTGGTCCTCTCCCAATTCGTTGCTGCGATTGGCACCCAAAGGCCCCTTCCGACCCTTTTTCTTGCTCATTCGACGCCTGTCCTGGTCATCCTCTTCCTCCATCCTCTTCTCATCATCAGCCTCCTCTTCCGCGGTATCCATCTCATCATGGCCCCGTCCCCGGTTTTTGCGAGCCCATTCACGTTGACGTGCCTTCGCCTCCTCAGTTTCGCCGAAGTCGCTACCTGACCCGCAAGAACTCGATCTATAGCCCTTTTCGCCATCTTGATCTGGTTCGGGCATTGACTCTGCTTGGTTGTTGTCCTCCTTTGGGCCGCCTGACTCTTTCTCCCTGCCTGACTCTACTTCAACAGCTTCCTGCCCAGACTCCTTTGCGCCGGCAGACTCATCGTCCAGCTCATCAGCTCTTTCCTGGGCAATTATATTGGCCACCTCCCACCATGCCTCCACCTCAGCAAGATCGTGTAACGCCCGAGGTTTCTCTGTGGTATATCCTGGGGGGAGTTGCTCCCATTCATGACTGGCGCGATTATACCAACAAATGTATGGGGCATACGCAGCCCAATCGCCCGGCCCAGCCAACCCAATCCTTGATCGATAACCTACATAACCCAGGTCCTCGATAGCTCTGCCAATACGGCAGAAATAGTTGGTCCCTGGATGTGGAACAGCTGATGCTGAAGGGAGGGGAAGCCCGTCATCCGACGGCATCGTGGAATCAAATTCCTCATCACTGGACGCTGGGTCCGGGGTCAAGGGCTCGCGAAAGTTCAGCGCAGGGTCAATAACATTGAGGGGGGGGATGTCCGGCCGGTTACGTATTTTGTAGAGGCCCCTTGAACGAGGAGCGGGCCCTGTCGTGCGGGAGAGCGGTGAAGATGGAAGAAAACCAGAAGAATCATTGCTGTAGAATGCATTGTCAGTGCCATGTCACTATGCGTAATAAAGGAAACATACGTCGGAATTAGAGTCGATTTGATCGCGAAAGTGGCGTCCGCTGATGGGGAAACTCTTGATGAGGCAGATCTAGCAGAAATAGGTGAACCGAGCGGGAGGAAAGGTCCAACATTCCGACATACATTAGCGTAGCCTGGAGACCCAAAGGCAATACCGAAGTAGCAGAAGCAGAGGCATTTGAAGCCCTAGCATTCGGGTTTCTGCTGTAAAAGATGTCTTGGGCAGCGTCCGGTATGTCATCCTTGCGTCTGCGGACGTTACAATTCAGACAAAGACGGCGGGGTCGAATCTGACGTCACTAACCGATTATCGCGAGAAACAAGGTTCTGGGTTGGCGTGGTATCTGGGTCGTCCACGGGCATAACCCTGTAGGCTCGTCAGCCAAATAAAGATGAAAAAAGCTCAGCGAACAAGGAGTTAACGCTGGTGAGACCCAAGTGAAACGACAAAGAGTCAAATTTCACAAAGGCAAGGATACCCCGCGACAAGGAGTCAAACGGTATATCCCCTGGGAGAGATCCACGCACTCTTTTTGGCGTCCGTAGGCGCGGATTGTTTTGGGGATATTGGTTTTCGCAGTGTCTTGATGTTCGGAAGTACTGAGAGGACCCAAAGTCTTCGTGACCGAGCTGAGTCCATGTTGGTCGACCATGGCGTCTGCTGTGGTGGAGGATGGTTCATCCTGAGTGGGTTGGGCCTCAACCACGGCCTTGATGCTAGTGTCGGTGTCCGTGACGCTACAGCACACGTTGAGATTTTGACAAGGTGGCCCAGAACACGCACATACCTTTCATTGTCTGTAGTCACAGCTGACTTCTCAGGCTCCGAATTCCGCACAGGCGCTCTCTTGACAGCTTTGGAATTTTTTCTGATGGCAGACATTAGTAAGGATCCTTGAATCCAATGTATCAACTTACTTTTTGGAACGACGAGGGCGCTTGACTGCCGGAGTCGATTCGGTGTTGACGATGGCTTCGACGCTGGCGTCGGTTTTTTTCTTGGAGCGGGTAGGAAGACCGACGGCCTGGGAGGCTACGGTGTCGGAAACGGCATTGCCGCTAGCTTCAACGGCGGTCGCACTATAGGGAAGATTGAGAAAAGAACGTGCAAAAAATTAACCACGAATCACCTCTCAGCCTCCTTGGTTGGGGCAGACTTTCCAGCTCCCTTCAGATTTTTTTGAGCGACGTGGCAAACTGTGGAGGCAGCGTACTCACTCTGGTGCTTGCCCGGCCTTGGCCTACAGGGGGCAAAAGGACGACTGGTACCAATTTACGCGCACGAAGCTGACGAGGTTCAGACATTTGAGTTGTAGCAGTTGTAAACCTGGTTATGGTTCAAAGTTCGAATTTTTTCTGGGTAGTTTGGGTGAGAAAAGCGTTCCACTGTTTCTTAAATATAATCCATATTCTTCAGTCCACTCTAGGCCAGGTACGGACTAGCCCAATCAGGATTTCCCTAATGTTGTTGCGAGTTGTGGGTCTCAGGGTAAATTAACCCCATTGATCCACCCGATTACTATTGACCTGCAGAGTTAGCCAAGTTGACCACAAACTGGCTGAATGAACAAATCACCTTCGAGAGACAGGCTTCACATTGAGAGGTTGACGTGTGAGGGTGTCGGGCCACAGGCTACCCGTGGCGTCCAACGAATTCGTGGCGTCTAACCTGGCGGCAACCAGGGAAGCCCCCAGCACTAGTACGTTACCCGATTACATAAGTTTTTTCTATTATTTTTCAACCCAACGTACCAAGCGTAAGGTCAGCTCGCACATTCCAAGATGATGGCTTATGCTTAAGTCGATTGACGATCGGAATTGACTGCGTGATTGTTTCAACAGAGCTATTAAGTATTATTTGGTGGTTGTTTCGTTTCAATCCAACGTACCCACCCATGAAATAGCTAATGTTGGCGTGCGTGCGCACCGTATCCCGGTTTTGGCCAGTTGAACAAACCGGATTAACGGTAGGAATAGACTGCGTAATTATTTCAATTAACCTATGGACGATTTTGTCATGAAGCCTACGTACCAACCCATGAAATAGCTCAGGCTGGCCTGCGTGCGGACCATATCCCGGTCTTCGCCGGTTAAACAGACCGTATTAACGGTAGGAATAGACTGCGTGATTGCTTCAATTAACCTATGAACGTTTTTGTTATCAAGCCTACGTACCAAGCAACGAAAGATCTTAGAAGTTTCGATGACTGAACCATGCGAGCGGGGTGACCGATGTAGTTACTATTTGAACGAATGAGCTCGGCGTTGTGGATTGAGAATGACGAAGCGAGGATTGCAGCGACAAGGAGTCAAACCGCTCAAGTGAAAGGCCGACAGGGAGTCAAAGCCTGATATACACAGCATGGATGACAAGGAGTCAAATCCCGCTGGGCCTGATGGGGAACTGGACGAAGAAAGGGCACTTACATCGTTGAGCCAACATGCAGACTCTGCGATTGTAGAGGAGATCAAACCAACGTCGATACTTTTTGAAGGAATGAGCATGGCGTCGTCTATTTCGTATTACGATCCGAGGAGTTGACTCGCTAACGCCAGGTTTGAACCATCCAAACGGAGAGACCAACGTCGAGGCTTGCAAAGTATGGATCACGGTCCCACGTAGAAACTATTCCAAGGAATGAACATGGCGTCGTGGTATTCAAATTACGAGGCAGTGGATTGACTCACGATTTCAATGTGGCGCGATTGTTGCGCCCATATCCCTACTCTGCGTGAGCGAAAGAGGCGCCGCCCTAACCCAGCTGAACATCTGTTTGGAACCAATGAGCATGGACGTCGTTGACGTGGATATCAGAAGCGAGACTAGCAGCGACAATGAGTCAAACTGCGAAAGGCCGACAAGGAGTCAAGGCCTAAAACGCAGCGAGGACGACAAGGAGTCAAGTCCCGCTGGTACAAAAGGGGTCAAGGAGGGGGGAAAAACAACTTACATTGATGAATGTTGAGGGCGGAGCGGTGAGGGGAGCCGTGAGCGCGTGAGCCATTGTGCGGAGGTAGAGCGCATCGGATCTGATCAAAGTTTGATCAGAGTACCACCGATGAACAAATCACAACAAGATCAACTCAAGTGTTCTTGGAGTTGATCTTCGAGTTGAAGATCAACTCCAACCTCTTCATGTCTTCCCTACACGATCAGCGACTATTGGTGAGTGCAATTCTTGACATCTTCGATGCTACATCCCAGGATTTTGACTCGTTGTCGATCCTGAAAGCCGTTGACCTTGACTACTTGTCGGTCGGCGGTCCATACGAGTTTGACTCTCTGTTGCTCGGCTGGTTGCATCACTGACTGTAGCCGATGTATTTACGCTGACTGTATAGAATTATAGATTGCTGCCCCGCAACCGCTGAAGAGCGTCGCACCTTTTTATTATGTGGTAAGTGGTTGGACCTATACATCAACCAATTTACGCCGACTGATTATGATTGTAGTTTTGTGGCTGGCCACAGCTCAATGGCGTTGGATCGATTTATGTGGCTTGATCTATACAACAGCCGGTCGAAGATCTTGATGTTGCTGGTTGGCTCGGTGTTCGCAACGGCCGATTCTCGTACTATTCTCGCTCTCCGAGAAGATGACCCCGAACATGCTCCTATACACGCCTCCATCCATGCTTGTCTCGTCCCCCTCAACCACCATGATTCCATCACACATCCGATAGTACGGTCTTCAATCTTTTATTAGCAAACAAGGTATGGAGTGTCCTCGTTGGATGCAGAAGCCTCAGCTGACCATTTTTTGGTTAGCCGACAGGGCCGCTTGGGCTAGACGGCGTCAAGTTCACGCCCCTCCAGTACAGTACTCCATCCATCCATGCAGATCTTGTCTAACTCCATCAGCATAATTGCTTCACGCATCCGAAACCTGGGACCACTTCAACACCTGGTGCAGCACCTTTTCGGTCTGTGCGCTCGACTTTCCTGCACGCTAGCTCTGCCTGGCACCTACAGGGGTACAATGTTCAATCTATCATCGGCAAACAAGGTATGGAGTGTCCACGCCGTATGCAGAAGCCTCAGCTGACCGTCTTTTGGTCAGCGGATAGGGCCGCTTGGGCTAAACAGCGTCAAGTTCCCGCCCCCCTCAGTAATGATCCCTCACAAAGTCAGAGCATTGTGTGCTGTCAGCGCTTCCTGTGCCCTGGAGGTTCTCGTCAGTAGTTTCCATGTCGTCCTCTCATAAGTTATAACGTACTTCTGCACTGGCGGTTATTCTTGAATCCATGGTAGACACAACGTCATTTTAGCAGTTTGAGTGTCCGGGTGGTAGGAACGATTTTATTTACAAGATGTACTACTTACTTGCCTGACGATTCCATGCCAAGTGACGCGTTCACGGTAAATATGCGCGACGCGTCTGGTCACGTGCTTTGATCAACGTGACAGGTAACGTTCAAGTCCTTATCTGGTTCACAAACGCACTCACTTCCACGTCTTGAAGTTCCATCCTGGTGAGTCTCCGCCGTCTTTTCTTCTTGTTTCGTCCATGGAACTTGACTCCTTGTCGTTCCAATGGAGTGTACGGTCTTTGACTCCTTGTCGGACCGTCTCTCTATCCCAAGCTTGACTCCTTGTCGCTTGGGTTTTCTTTTGATCGTGAAGCTCATCGATTAACATCTTTGACAGACCACTACTCGTGTTACCACCTGTCGCGCCCGCCTCGGTCATTGTGGTGTCTTTGGATTCACACTCAACATCACGGTCGTCAAGTAAGTGTCTGCCGTACTTTGTTTCTGTTTCGTTGCGTCAATTTACGTCGTTGACAGCTTCTGCTCGTGTTACCACCTTCGCCCCCGACTCGTTGTCTGTTACCACGTCTCGCGCCCGACACGTAGTGGTTGTTTGTTTTGGGCACCCGAAGTTTAGGTTCGTACCCCGTTCACTATCTTCCTCTGTCGCTGTTCTTGTACACTTGTTCTCGGAATTTGACTCTTTGTCGTTCCAACCGAGGATGTGGGTTTTGACTCCTTGTCGATCTACATCCTCGTCTTGAGTTTGACTCCTTGTCGCTCATTTTCTACCATTTGCCATCAATCGAGTTCAATACTCATGCCTTTCACAGCAATGTCCCCCTCCAACGCCAAACCTTACTATAAGGAATACTTCCGTGAAGGGGATCGTGATTACGAGGCCACTGATGCTGTATGCTGGGATGTGACGGACCGTCGGGTTCGGTCAGGGGAGGTCATGAGTGAAGCGGGTATCAACACGTACATGGAGCACCCGGACAGCGAGGATCCGAGCCATTGGTGGGTAATCACAACCCCCAATGCTGGGTACATTCCCACTGCACCCATCGGCATCCGAACGATTCAAGCGAGAGCGGACGGACGTTTTGGGTTGGACGACCGCACTCAACATCCGCAGATGTACGTCAGGGGTTTCGAGTACATTTGCTGCATTCCTAAGCGTGAGCACTCGCGACGCATGCTATGGTGGACTCCTACTATGGACGATTGTCCCCCTATCCCCAATGGCCCCTTTGCCATCACAATACGCGTCCTCAAACCGCACCTGTTGCATGGATACAAAAAGCTTCGTGACAAGTATGTTGGCCTCATAGGCCAACGTGCCGAGCGCTCTCCGCTGGCTGGCCTCCTTGTGACGACTATGTGTCAATGTCTCGATAAACTGAGATCCTTCGGAATGACGTACAAAGAGATCGTTCTGGCGGTGGCAGAGTTTCAGCGTGCAGTACTCGATATACACGGGTGGATTGAATACGTCGATGTTTACCAGCCCCGTCTACGCCCCGGTCCCAATGGCATGGAGAAGCATGAATCAAATCAGAAACTTATGGGTGCCTTTACGGAGAAAGTCGCTGTTGCGCAACAACTTCACGCGATGGGCATTCCGGTTTGGCTGATTCGACCATCATTTCGTATTTTGCCAACGATGAATGTCAACATCTATTCCCCCCAGCGACATGATGACGATATCGTTTTGCGGCAGTTTTCCCATGGCTTGGGAAACCCTGACCCCTATCCCGTTCTGGTTGTTGGCCCATCATCCGCGGAACTCTACCGGTGGACGCAGCGCATAGGCTGCGGGATCATGGACCTTCAGGACGTTACGGCGATAGGCCGTCAGGATTTCGTTGAGGGAAAAGTCAAGCTGGGTGCGGTTCGAGAGTCTTGTAGGTGAAAGCTTCTTCTATTTGGACCAGTAGCTAACATCTTCCTTTTGTAGACTCACTTCCTGTGCCGTCCGTTGCCCAATTGTCGGCTGCAGGGGCAGTGGGGCCCATTGGTAAGAATGACTGTTATCATGTTGATGTTCTTATTGCTAACTTGGAGTGTATTTAGCTGGTTCATCTTCTAGGATTGAGGGACAGTATGCCTCAGCCACTTCAACCACTCAGCAAGGTAAGGTCGTGCTTTCGCTTTAAGTGCCGAGTTTACTAAAACGTGTTTGCAGTTTTACAATCCGTGAGATCCCAGCAGCAGTCCCAGCCACGATCTCAGCTGCAGTCCCAGCCCCCCTCGACGCCGGTTATTCCTCCATCTCTGGGGCTTGCGCCAACGTTGAATGAGGGTCCTGGGCCCTCCAAGCGCCAACGCCTAGCGGGTGAAGAAACCCCAGACAGCCCGTTCATGCCGGACCCTATGCCACGATGGGCGGACGCTTTGCGTATGATCGATTCGGATCGCAGCCGAGTAATCAAACATCCCGAACACATCCAGAACATTGGCTTCAAATACCCTAAGGCAGAAATTTTCTTGAACTCCAAAAACCGGGCTTTGTATACTGCGACGTGGTTGGCAATTCGAGCATATCATGCTTACACGCTCGGCACTGGGACCTCGCTCCCTCCTCCCATCAGCTCCCAGCAGTGGCGCAACTTCCTCATCAAGATTCTGCCCTTCTTGCACCCTGATAGTATTGATGTTGCGGCACAGCTGGATGAACCCACAACTTCCACTCCCCCACCACAACCAGACGGGAAGGGGAAACAGAGTGCCAAGGGGCCAGGGAAGGGGGGCAAATCTCGCACCAAGAAATCGAACTCTTATCTTGATCAGATCCCGCTCAAACATGGCCAGGTTGATAGGGTGGTTTTTTATGATACAACGATTCAACTGGGTACCGCGGCGGAGCTGGAGAACGCATTGACGCCGGAAATCACGAAGGAGGTACTCTGGGAACTCTGTCACATGAGCTTCCGATTCGAGCTTGTGAGTCTCGATGCCATCGCCGCAAACGCTATGTACCAAGCTCGTGAAGGGTTAACACAGGAGGAGGCGTCGGCCGCCCGTATCCAGGAAGTTCTTCGGGTATTTCCCATGTCTGGTGAGGTGGTGGGACCTTTCATCATCAACGAGATCCCGAATCGCGATTTAGGTTTGACGGCAGCGGATCTGCTGGAACGGAACCGTTATCTGGTGGCACTGGGGCATTTGATGTCTTCGTGGAAGGGTTGCCCGGATTCTATCACCAAAGTGAGCTCGGGGCCATTGGCAAAGCATGTACGTCGTCAGGAGGAGGCGTGTGCAGTGTTCTATTGCCAGAGTTTCTTCGACAACTTTGGCCGTGCACCTGTCATACCGTGCCGTCTTCCATCTCGATCCCTTGCACGTTCCCAGCCCGTTACCTTCGTGGACTCTGTGTCTTCCGTGCGGCCGCCATCATCTTAATTTTTTTGAACAATAATAGCACGCATACATCTTTGCATCATGTTGCCTCGTTTTTTTCTTGTCATCGGCACATGATGTATCAATATATCTTTTTTGGGACTGTATTGCTCCCGGGGATTTGGGGGTTTGACGAGACCTTGGTAAGGCGCTTTTCTCTTCTTTCCCTCATCTTCAAGCTTGGTGCTTTGCAACACTTGATGTCTTTCAGAAAGAGTCGTTACTTGGGCAAGGCTGGAGTTGCTATAGGGTCTCCCTCTGTGAAAAAGAAGTCTTCGGCTAAATCTTGGGTGTCAACTGATGATGCCAGTGTGTCACGTCGTCCTTATGGGCTACCTGGTGTTCAGATCTTG